ATGATATAGAAATGTAATGCATTGAAATTGCAAAAGCAGTTATAGTGCACTTTGAATATGCTTGGTTTCATTATATTTTTTTTCCTTGAAGATGTAGTGATGTCATCATATTGGGGTAAAACATTCAATACGCAGTTGATTTCATCAGTTTCTCGTATTGTCTTTTTTAATATTGGAGAGAACATAGTGAATTACTGAGCTGTGTGGAATGCGCTAATGCACTTAGGGTCATACCTGTTTTGTCTGAGATTATGTTGTCTTGTACCTGATGCGACAGATATGTACTTTATCTGCTGTAATCTATGTAAAAAGAACTATTTCCCTTCTCTTTTTATATTGTTAATTTGGTGTTGTCTCGCTTTTCATCTGATGAACTCCGTTCTGCATTGCACAAACTGTCGACGTGTGAATTTTTCTCAGTGATTTGTGTATTTTTACGAGCTTTAACAGTGAAGAAAATGTATCAACTGAAAATAAAAGTGATAAGACTAATCTGTTGGGTTTTTTTTAAACTATATACAAAGATTATCCTGAATATTTGGAAGTCAGTCTGAATACTGAATAACATAGCATAAGCCAGTGTCGTAATGAAGCCCTTGTCTCTAGGAGGGACCGGGGGTGGTATTTTTGGATCTAAGCACTTGTCAGTAGCTCAGATTGGTCTGAGATGTTACACAGCTGCAAGCGTGCCTCTCACATGTTTCTATATCAGACCGCATACATCCCAGAGCTTCAGATACAATTGGAAGAAGCTGCAGAAACCTGACCTGTTAACAAAGTCCTCATTCACCCTCTGAATACACAGCGCAAGGGCCAAAAGAGCATGATGGTATGTAAATATATAGTGCTGTGCAAAAGTCTTGAGATGCCTTTCATTTCATTATATTTTGCTTCTAATGACTCAGACCTTTACTCTGTACATTGGCTGCTTTTTCAGTCATTTTCAGTCCAGTCCTTATGCCTGAACTGGATAAGTGAGAGACAAAAGAAGTGACGAGCTTAAAAAAACTAATTGCAGCAGAGGAACGGTATCTGAAAGTCACATCCTTAAGAAACATGAAAAAATTCAGCAAATGTTCGGTACAAATCATTGTGACTATGAACAGGGGAGGGGTACATCAGTGAGTGCCCTCGCCATCTGTAAAACATGGTTAGTCTGAGGTGTGTTGTGGTTTGGGGCTATAGTTCAGCAGTGGTGTTGAGAATACTGCAAAAATTAATGGACTTCTGAGCACAGGAAAATGCCATTAGATTTTGATCCACCATGTGGAAAACATCTGATGGGCAACATCTTCATTTTTCAGCATGACAATGATCCCAAATAGTTAACTGCATGGACTCGTTCATTTATAGTTACTCATTCACACAAAAACGTCTTTCTACACGTGCTTTGTAACCAACATTCACACACATTCAGAGAGCAACTTGGGGTTCAGCATCTTGCCCAAGGGTACTTTGGCACACAGACCAGAGAAGCTAAGGAACAAACCACACACCTTCCAATTAGTAGATGATTTGTGCTATAACCACACCAGTGTGGGAATCATCTTGACGGGGAACTGAGAAAAGGAGCAGAGCTTTAAATGTCTTCCAAGAAGCCTGGAGAACTATTCCTATTTAAAGAAAGAAATAAACTATTTAAAAAAAAAGCTACCATTCTGTCCTTACAGGACAGACCTCAGCTTTTACTCGCTGAATGTGAGCATCTTTAGGATGGTCATTTTATCCCAGTGGCTCTTTATCTTTATTTCCTTATCAAAGCACTTTACTGAAGACCAAGTTAAAATACGCTGTAATCCATTTGCTGTTTTTAGAATCTTTTTCTACAGTCATTATGGCACCTGCATGCACAGCTGATCTGTTCATTACATAAATACATAAGATGCTAATAAATGACAACCGCCCCCCTTCCCCAATTGTGCACCTTGAATAAACAGAAAACAAAAGTAGAAAGATTTTATTAGCGAATACAAATGTGTTATAAAAGACTTCACCTGCGCCTCTGCCGCCACCTGCTGGTCATCTTCCAACATAACGTCTGTCAGAATTATTTACAAAGTGGTGGCAAAAACACAACTTCACGCTCCACCAAATATACATGACCTTTTGACCTGCTGACATAAATCACCATCATGGCCAATGTAGCATGAAAGTGAGAAGTAAATATTTTACAATTCTGTCACCTTTTACAAAACACCTGGTGCATAAAGAGCTGTAACCATCAGTCCAAATCTACATGATTCCTTGAGGCTGTCCCTTTCCTGCAATCTTCTTCGAACACTCCAGCAAAGCGTTGTGGATATCTTTGGCACAGGAGATCTGAGATTTGATCATGCCGAGGTACTGGGCATATGACATGGACTCTGTCTGGACGGTGTCTGGCTTGGTGGCCGTTGGGACCAGGTTGGGTGAGTGTTTGGCACTGTCGATGCTCTGTGAGAGGCACTCATATGCTAGTCGCTGCATAGAGAAGAAAAAAATTCAGTTTGTGGAGGAAATCTTAAGTGTAGATACAGTGCAGTGGTCCCTCGTTTATCGCGGGAGTTACATTCTAAAAAGTCTTTTAGATTTGACTGATAACTCTTCTTTAATTTTAATGCTTTTTTTAATAGTCAGTCTTGAGTTAAGTTCTTTTTCATCTGTTTAAGTCATTAAAACATATCACAATGAGATTGGTTTACACCCAATTTAAATATTTGTAATGTTTTGTAAGAAAAAAGGTTTACAGTCATATTTAGTTTTTAGGGGTACAGTTATTATCTCCTACAGAAATGGCAAAACACTCACAAAAATCAACACATAAATGTGTCTGGATGTCTGTTTTACTGCATGATGGATTATTTGTTTGTTTGAATCTTACCAAACACAGCTCAAGTTGATCGCAAAGGGCATAAAACTCCTCCAGGCTTTTGTCAAAGCGCTGAAGTGTCACTGAAGTGTCGCTGGTTTTGCTAAAACAAAAGGGAAAAAAAGACACACATAGAAATAAATCAGAAGGCTGCTTGACACAGACATACAGATCAGAGGTTGCCACAAACGACGCTACTTACATGCCGTTGTCAATCGTCGTGTTATATGCCAAATTCAGGGAGGCGATTCTCATTACATTCTGCATTGGAACGAAGTAAAGTAAATTTTATTCACATTCTACACGTTCACAGTATGTTTCAGATCAATATTGAGCCAGGTGAAGAATTCCTTCCTAAGTGTCTACAACAGATTTTGGATAATAGTGAATTAGTGACTATCGATTCTCATTAATGTTTCAAAGAACAGGAAGATAGTATATTTTTGGTTTTACATGACAGTCAAAACGATTTAAATATATTTTATTCAAAGGAAAATGTCAAGATAATTCCAGAACTGATTGGCTGTTTAACTACACATTTACACAGGACTTTACAGGACCCGGCCAAATATGTTGGGAGGCAGGCAGTTCCCATGGAAGTGTGAAAGTCCCCTTTGACCTCCGTCACCACTGTCCAATAAAAATAATAAAAATACACATCAAGAGGCGTGGGATGTACAGTTTCACGGTTTCAATATTCACTACAATCACAGTTTAACTGAAATAGAACCACACTGGTGGATCTAAAATCCACCTCAATAGATCGGGATTAACGTCATTGTACAAAAATTTGAAGCGCCTGTGCAACAGTATCGACTTATAAAATATATATTTTATGTATACTGGGTAACTTTCGGGAAAGTTGTCACATTTCAGGCTAAAAGAATTAAATTTGTTTCGTTTTTATTTTTTACTGCTGTTAAATTTGAAAACGAACAGTATGTGAGGGTTGTAGATTTCACTGTCTGGGATGGGAAATCGTTAGCAAGTTAAGCTATTCAATCTTCAGCCAGCTACATGCGCAGCACTTACCTGTAAGCTCTCCTTTAGCTGCGGTATAAGCATCTTAAATCTCTGAACTGGGTCAAAGTCTTGCTGTTGACTCAGTTGCTGTTGTTGTTGCTGTTGTTGTTGTTGCTGCTGCTGTTGTTGTTGCTGCATTGAAGCAGACTGTTGTTGTTGTAATCCGGGCTGAGACATCGACCCTCCTGGTTGCGGCTGCTGAGACGCCATCTTGTTCTGCTGTGACTAGAATATCCGGGAAAATATCCGGTTCTATAGTTTTCAAAATAAAAGTAATTCTTAAGAGGGCCACTGAAAGAAGAGGGCAGGGACGGGTATAAAATAAATTAAAAAAAAACAACAAAACACTCCTCAAAATGTTCTATATTAAACCTTATATTATACATTTTAATTGGATTAAGCAACAAACAAATACTGATTTTAGCACAGAGTCAACACATTATAAACTTCCAGACTTTGAAGAGACCTTGTAATGAAATGGGTCCGTTCAGAAGAAAATAACAGACTCATTTAGGTTAGGTGATAGCTTGTGTGTGTCAATTTGCCACTTTAATGTAAAAAGGTTGTTGTTTTTTACACTACCCATGCCCTGTCCCTTAGTTTTTTCCTATCTTCTGTGGCCCTAACACGCTGTTGTACAGTTTTGATTATTTTGAACTACATGTACAACCTTATTCATTCCCAGAGATACTGTTTTTATTAATTGTACTAATACTTTAGTTTGTTTTCCGTGGTTCTTTGTTCATTTACATAAAAATATTTTTTTTATTTTGCAATATTTAATGTATTTTCTGTACCAATGATTGTATGAATGACTTTGAAAAAATTACAGGCTTTGCAAAGCAGGAACAAATAAGGAAGACCTCAGAGATTAATGGATGTAATGATGAGAGATGCTGAGGATAGGGTAATATGGAGGCAGGTGATCCGCCTCCTAAATAAGCAGTTTAAAGAAGAAGAAAGAGGTCTTTAAGGGGAGGAAAGAGAGACTGATTCAGCTAAAAAATAAACAAAACCCTAGTTTAGTGTAATATTCTCCAGTCCAGTAGGTGGCGATAAAACACATCCATGCTGGTTTGAAAGTCGCCAAAAGTAGAAGAAGAAGCAAGCTCCGAGGAGGGGAGGGCCCTGCAGCTGCTGCTTTCTGGCAGAAACCCCGTAGTGTAGCACCGCAGCGCCATTCGGTAACTGCAACAGTATCCAAAATGGCAGGAGCTGATGGAGACGATTCTCTTTACCCTATCGCCGTTCTCATTGATGAACTGCGAAATGAGGACGTTCAGGTAGGAATCCTGATTTTAATATTATTGTTTTTTTATATTAAAGATAAAAGCGTTTGGCATAATTTCTTAGTCGTCAGATTGTTAGCTAGCTATCTAGCAAATATGCTAAGTAACGTTCCCGGTCTGGGCCTATCAGGAATTTTCTGCCGGGCCCACCCTACCCGGCTAGTCTAGTTTGTTGTCGACAGTAATATACCGCTCTTTGAGTTTGTTTTTACGCAGATGTACATTTTAATATATTATCACGAAGATTGACAAACTAGGTCATTCATTTAGCTGCTAGCTAATGTCTAGCCAAGCTAGCCGAATGAGCGTTCAACTAAGGAATCACAACAGCGGGGCGTTTGAGGCCGCAGTAGGTATAGATCACGGCTGATCACGCAATTTATTCCTATCAGTCAGTGGAAAGCTTTGCCTTCTAGCAAGCAATTTGAAACGCTGGGTAGCTTTAGTTAGCAACTTGTGACGCAATTTTAAACCAGATGAAAACACTAATACGCTTTCTTGGGTTAACAGTATGAATTATAGGGTTGTATTTATTTATTTATTTTGTTATTGGCCCAGGGTTTCTGAATCCATCACTAATTTTCCATTTTGCTTCCAGTTGCGTCTGAACAGCATCAAGAAGCTGTCCACTATTGCTCTGGCCCTGGGTGTAGAGAGGACCCGAACTGAACTCCTCCCTTTCCTCACAGGTAATAAAAGCAGTTTTATATGAAAGCGCTGAATGTATAAAGTGGGCCTTGTAGTTGCTGAGGCTGCCAGTAATCCACATGTAGATTAACAGTCCTTCTCTCACCCTCAGACACCATCTATGATGAAGATGAGGTGCTTTTGGCATTGGCTGAACAGCTTGGCAATTTCACTATGCTGGTGGGAGGTCCAGAGTATGTCCACTGTCTTCTGGTAAGTCTACAAGCTTCAGATGATTTTTTTTTTGTAAACACATGCTTGTAAGGAGATGCATTCCCCATTATATTAAATCTGTATTGATATTTCCTTAGAATTAGCTAGTTTATGTAAAAGTCAATTTACTACACATGAACTTTGCATCAACGTATTTTTCAAGAGTGGGCCTAATGTTAAAGTTAGGTTATATTAGGTTGCACTAGGACACAAAAGGTAGTATCTAAACACATCTTAACCCACACAGAGTTCATTTACTGGATTTAGACTAGTAATAACAAACTGTTGACACAATTACATCAGTCCCTCAGCTTAACAGTTTCAACATAGGACTGACCTGTGGACTTAGGATCAAAGATGATCATGTTTATGACGACAAAAATAAAAGTAATCGACTGACATTTCAGCTCTTCAGATTTGATGATTTTGTTAACTTTTCTTTGTTTGTTGTAAATAAATTTTTAAATTTGGAATTAGTAGTACATCATATTCTATACAATTGTTTTATCACAACCTTGTATAAATTTTCAGTTTGTTGAAAGGTACATTTTCTAAATTCAGACTGTAAGCAATCGTATACAGCCAGTCATTTGTTAGTATGTATGTAGCATCTAGAGATTCATTGTGAGTAACCCCTTAATGCCTATTGTATCATATTTGCTATATAGAGTTTTTGTGAGATGTTTGTTTGTGATGCTTTTCCATCATCAGTGTGGATTAAGTTGATCTCCACTTATTTCTTCTTGATGTTTAGCCTCCTCTGGAGAGCCTAGCTACAGTGGAAGAGACAGTAGTCAGAGACAAAGCTGTGGAGTCCCTGCGAAAGATCTCTCAGGAGCACTCTCCAGTTGACCTGGAGGTCCACTTTGAGCCTTTGGTGAAGCGGTTGGCCAGTGGTGACTGGTTCACTTCTCGCACATCTGCCTGTGGCCTCTTTAGCGTCTGTTATCCTCGTGTTTCCAGCACCGTCAAGGCTGAGATTCGCCAGTAAGTGGCTTCTTAAAAAGGGGACAGATTTTTAAATTGCTCCAAATCCTTTTTTCTTAACTTATTTGCTTGTAATAAGTCACTTGGTGGACAAGGTTTCATTTGATGTTTGTTGTTATTTCTAGGCATTTTCGCACCTTGTGCTCTGATGACACTCCTATGGTGCGTCGTGCTGCAGCATCCAAACTGGGGGAATTTGCCAAAGTCTTGGAGCTGGAGTATGTAAAAAGTGACATAATTTCCCTTTTCACTGCCCTGGCCTCTGATGAGCAGGTATGAACATCCATCCAAAAAAAATCCATTGAACTGCAGTGTTCTTATTTTGGGTAGTCCATTCTTGGTGTCGTTGCCTGTTGGGAGGCCAAACTGATCCCATCTTTCTTCATCAGGACTCAGTGCGGCTGCTTGCAGTGGAGGCTTGTGTCAGTATTGCCACTCTGCTGCCTCAGGAGGATCTGGAGACCCTGGTGATGCCAACCCTACGTCAGGCTGCAGAAGATAAGTCCTGGAGGGTCCGTTACATGGTTGCTGACAAGTTCTCTGAGGTAAACTGAAAAAGAACTTTTAATGTAGAATTAACATTTTGGAAATTCTGTTTAAAACTAACTTTAAATAGGGCACTGTTTTGATATAGAGTAATTCTGAAGTGGAGTTGACTGTTTTTCTTTTACTGGATATAAAACCAACAACAACAAAAGGTTCATACATTTCATTGTTAATCTGCTGTATTTCTTTGATAAATGCTAGTAATCTTAGTTTAGACACATGTAGTGCTTTCAAAGAATTGTTTGACATCACATCATTAAATAAACCACCCCTGTCCAAACATTTGTGCTGCACATTTACTGAGCAAAGGTGTCATTGGAATAATAATGATTAACAAACCCAACATCCTCAAACAAGTAGCTGAGATTAAATCTTAACTTCCTGTTAAAACCTTCAGAAAAAATACTAAGAGCAAAAACAGGGTGGAGAGATTTAAAGGAGGCTCTCGTAGACTTGAGCTGAATTAAAGTTCTTTGTTGCCATGCTGCTGTGGGCACAACTAATCGCATGCATTCAACTAGGTCATTGAGCCATTTTTGATCAAAAGAATCTATGCAGCTGCAAAACTCTATTGAGCTTTATTATGAAGGTGACACAAGTTTAAATTAGCCCACAAACATTACTAATAGGTAATTAAAATATTTTACCAGTGGGCTTTAATTAAGATTTGTAATATTTGGAGCTTTATCTTTGCATTTTCATTACAGTAACACCATGCTTTTGATGTGTTTAGTAAGTTCTAGAGCAAATAAAAAACATGTGTTTTTATTGGTAACAAAACAGTTGTGATATAAGGAAAATGCATAGTAAATATTTATTAGCTTGAACAGGCCTATTTAAGGGGCTATTTTGAGTTTTACCTGTGTCAGATTATAAGTAGCAGCAGAAATATTGTACATTTTAAAAAGTCAGTTTCCAGTTAAGCCGAAAATTTAACTACCTGTATGCAGCTTTGACATGCATCCATGCAATACACAGCTATACAGGGTCAGCAAAATTAAGAAGATAAGGTGCCAGGTGATAGACCCAGGCCATGGCACATACATTAAAAAATCTGTTTTATACATAGAAATCTTAAAGTTTATTTCCATCTTAATATTCATTGAAACCTCTTAACTATCAGTGTTGAGAATTTTGAGTCAGGTTGTTTGCTCATAATATCACAATGTGAACTTTTAGCCACATTAAAAACCTCCCAGTATCTTCCAGTAACCTTTTTACTGGAAGACACTGGGAATTGTGTCACATGCTTACTTAGTAAATGGAGATTAATTGATTTCTGTCTGAATGTAGCTCCAGAAAGCAGTGGGCCCAGAGATCACAAAGAACGACCTGGTCCCAGCTTTCCAGAATCTTCTGAAGGACTGTGAAGCTGAGGTCCGTGCGGCTGCAGCCAACAAAGTCAAAGGTAGGAAAGTTTCTTCAAATGAATCGCACTGGCCGAACTTGATTCAGCCTCTTGACCACTGCTTTCTATATTTTGATGATGTATTTTTCCCTTTGTTAGAATTCTGCGAGAACCTTCCAGAGGACAATCGTGAGCAGATCATCATGACTCACATCTTGCCTTGCGTCAAGGTAAAAATAAATAAATAAACTTTTCTGTCAGCTGCAGTGTGATTTTCTTGTCAGTAAGACAAGAGTTTTGTGTTCACTGGTAAAGCAAGAAAAACAAATGAAAGCTTATCTTTTTATTGTTCCCTTAAAACATTTTTGAATGCATATGTGTTTATTTATTTGGGGGGGGGGTTGACCAGTGCCATTGCTGACATTGGTCTGGAGCTTGGCAAGAACATGGATTTTGAATAAACCCAGACTTTAACAGCAATCTTAAACACTGAAGTGTCCTTGCTGTAGATAAATGTGCTTATTAGGACTCTGGTAGGGCAGTGGAGCCTCCAAGGTCCTCTTAAAATTGAATGCATGTTTAAAGCTGCAAGCGTACCCCTAAAGACTGAATTTTTCCCACCTTCTCCCCACATTTTTAGCAATTAATGAGATTTTTATGTGGTCAAAATATGAAAATAAACCTTTCCCACAAATATTTGGATCAAAAGGAGAATTGAAACATTGTAAATAAGGTGTGCTTTGATCAGACTACACCATAAACGCAAATCAAATGGACAGCATCCACATGCAGAAAACAAAGCGCCTGTTGTGTGGCTGCAATCTGTAGGGGCAGCAGACCATAAGATGCTCAAAGATGCCCACTAACTTCTTTAACCAAGAGAGCTTTTAAAGTCTTTGTGAAGGATTAATAAATGTGTTCTGAGTTGGTCAAACCACAGAAAATGTGATTTAAACCACACAGTCACATGTGGGAGCAGCAACAGAAATGATGATGATGATAATAATAATGGTTTCAGGGAAAAAATATCCTCTAAAGTACTAGGGGCATGTCTGCTAAAGGAGTAATTGTCAGCTCTCTGACCAGCCTAAATATACAAACTTAAGTTCTTTCGACCAAACTGGCTGGGTGCACAGTGTAGATATGAACTGTTTTTGATGCCTGGCTGCATGTATACCTTGCCAGCTGTATCACCTGGCAGGATGGGGAAGAATGTAGTCGGTTCAGCTACATTCAGATTTAAAGTGTGGATAATCCTTGAATCTTAGTTGTCTCCTGTGGAGGGAGGGGGGAAAGAGACTATTTTGTATAAACTGTTCACTGAGCAGACATGTTTGGTTGGTGACCCTTAGTCTGCCATCACCTTCACAAAAAGTAAAATGTTTGTTTGTGTAAACCTAATAATTTTGAATAAGAGCACTGGGCTGTTTTTGCAGGGAATATCCATTTCTCAGACAAAGACATAGTTAACAGTTAATCCGTAGCCTGCAAGAATAGCAGGAGAATCTAATTATGAGCTCTAGATCTTATAATGTAGTGTTTGGGGCAGATAATGGTTAAATATGGTTACACTGTCATGAAGTTGTCATGTTGAAAAGGTGGCATCCATATCTCTTATATTCTAGAGAATATAAGAGATTGAGAAAATTAATCTAGTAGTAAATAATTCAGGTTTTTCTCATTTATAGCACTTTTCTAAAACCATTTTATCATTTATTTGTTTAGTCTGTTAGGAAACAAATCTCTGAATTCCTTTAAATTGACGTCAAGACCTTATGTTTTGCGGTTATGTTTTATAGACTATACATGCCAGTGTTGTTCAAGTTTTAAGCAGAAGGTGGCACTATTGTGTTGTAACTAACTATTGTGTCACTAAGGGTAGTGGAAATACAGGTAGCCTCACAGTGGAATTCCTGGAACTGTACTTTTTGTGTGTGTGTGTTTTGAAAGAGAGCAAGCTGCATGACTGTCATAAGAAGTCTGTGTTTGTCCTGTAAACATACATACAGCAGTGGGAAAAGCCATCCAGGTAGCAACAAACACACTTCCCTGGAAAAATGTAATAAACGTCATAGCACGGGCACTTGGCACACACATACCATCACTCCCACTGCAGAGTTGATTTTATTGGTAGATAACAAGCGATTTCTTTGCTTGTTTATGTACACCCATTTCTGTTTCTGTCTACATCACATTTTAAGTTTTTCCACGCACAGTTGTTAGATGCAATGACTGTAATTCTCACTAGTATTAAGTTCACTTTACCATGTATTTACACACAGGTCGATTATAGGCTCCTTGTGTGCTGCGTTGCAAATATGAGCCATTGCAGTGGTCTTGATGTTTATTTACATACTTTGTCTTAACTATTTGTTTGGGCTGATCTCTCTGTCTCCTGTGTTTCCCGTCCTCCATTAGGAACTTGTTTCAGACACCAACCAGCATGTGAAATCGGCTCTGGCCTCAGTCATTATGGGACTTTCAACCATCCTGGGCAAGGACAACACAATAGAGCACTTACTGCCTCTATTTCTGGCTCAGCTCAAGGACGAGGTAAAGGAAATGCAGATTTTTAATTGTGGTTTCTTTATATTAGACAGCTGGCTTTGGAAATCCACAAGGCACGGTTGTAGTTTGGTACCACTGTAAACAAAAGCTGCTTACAAGGCAGCCCGATTTGACCAAGTTCTTTGGCCTTCTTTGATCAGCATGTCTTAGACAGCAAAGCCACTTAGCTGCAGCCACCAGATGTACCTGGCTGCCACCTGGCTGGGTAGGAGGATGATTCATGCAGTTGGCAGCCTAACTGAGACCTTACAATTGGAAGACTGATTGGCTGCTGTCTTGAGGAAAGCATAATTAAGTCAGACACAGCTTAGCCAAATGGGTTACTGCTTGATGCATTCTGATTGTATTTTCAGTAATAAGGAATAATTGTGGATATTTGCTGATTAAAGGAGGTAGGGTTGTGTGTCTAACATCAGAGTTATTTTTGCAACTGTCAGTATTACTTTTGTAATCATTTTTCAAAGAAGCTGCTACAAGAATCAAATTGTATGTAAATGTGTTTTAGCTCCTGAATATTGATTTACATTGTTCCTCTAAGTGTGTTAGGTTCATGTTGAAGAATAGCTCACTCACATCTTCCCACATTAATACATTGTCCCATTACATTAGTGAATATTGATATCAGACACAAGTTTGGCAGGTCGGAGACAAACGTGTATCAGTGTTTTGGAAGGCTTGTGCTTTAAGTTCCTCAACTCTCTTCCTCTAGTCCTATTTAAAGACGGCCCATTTTCCTCACGGCACAAACACAAGACTAAGTGACTAATTAGATTAATGTCTAAACTGACAGCTTTGACTTGCAAATTTCAAATCAAAGTACATTTATCTAAGGAAAGGGAGACACTGTACAGATTTCAGATACTTTCTGTGACTTGTTCAGCTACTGCTCTGTCCCAGCTTAAGTTAGTGTGATTGAATGTGTCAAATCATTCTTCAATTTGTGGTTTCTGGAGTTTAAAGTATGTTGATTTAAAAAGTTTAGCTGTGTACTTTTGCTGTTCCAGTTAATATCCTGTTCAAAGCTGAACAAACGCAAGCCCTAATTTCAGGCTCTTTATAATAACATTGGTTCCGCTTTGTAAGACATAACCTCTTGTCAGTCTGGCCTTTTTAGATGGGGTTAGCGTAGTTGGATACATAATATGTGATTGGTCTTTTTTTTTTTTTTCTTAAGTGTAAAATATGTAGGTTAAGAAGTTTTACATTTTCGATTATATCGGGTTTGAAATGAATCAGAATTTGATGACAGTAGGCTGGCATGACCTTAACCTATCTCTCGTAATTCGTCTGTTTTAGTGCCCTGAGGTGCGTCTGAACATCATCTCCAACCTTGACTGTGTGAACGAGGTGATTGGCATACGACAGCTCTCTCAGTCACTGCTGCCGGCCATTGTGGAGTTGGCAGAAGATGCAAAGTGGAGGGTTCGCCTTGCCATCATAGAGTACATGCCCTTGCTGGCAGGACAGCTGGTGAGTCGTGGAGTCTAGGAAAGACAGCTGCAAGCCATATAACATGTTTTAAATGTCATCCTTAATTAACACCATGTGTGAAAACACCAACATTAGCTAAAATGCTATCAGGCCCGATTTGACTGTAGATAACCAGGAAATGGTTGTGATTATATTTTATCCTTTTTCCTGCAGGGAGTCGAGTTCTTTGATGAGAAGCTCAATACCCTTTGTATGGCCTGGCTTATTGACCACGGTAAGGTGCTGTTATGGGTTTCAAAGTTTGTCAATTTGATGTACTATCATCGTCATAGGATGATACTTTATCTGTTGGGTCTTAAGGTGGAGCTGAGTATTTGACTGTTTGCATATTTGTTTGTTAGGGAGGTATTTGGTTTTCAAATTTTGGGATTTGGATATTTGTTCATATTATTTACATATAAATGCATACAGTCAGCTTTGGTGCCTGACACCCTTCTCACTCACAGCAGTGATCTTCACACTTCAGTTCACCTCATTGTTGCCAACTTGGCGAACTTCTGAGACGCTGCTCGAACAGATGCTTAAATGGGCAGCTTTCTTTGCAACACCCCCTTTATCCTATGAATACAAATCTTAGCCTGAAAATTGTCCTCGTTTTCTAGTTTTCGCTGCAGGAGGGTTGTACTTACTGTGGCAATGCCCCTAATTCTCTCGCCTCTTCCCAATGGCATTTTATTTGCTTTGGCTGTCAGTGCTCGGTAGCACTCTGATACCTTCATCATACACTAGCTCTTTTTTCTCTCTCTCTTTTTTTTTAAACATAAGTAGGAACTGCTTATTCCTTTATGAATTTTCACCATTACTTATCCACACAGTATTTTGATCTCTCACTTTAATTTCTCTAACTGAACGTTGCACGCAGTTTAGAGAGGTCCTCTTACCAGTCTGATACTATTTTATGACCAGGTCAGAGAGACTGTTGGAGAGAAGAGACTAATAAGCTTAGAGGGTGGAAGTGAAGAAGTTTCAGGGTAAAGCAGGGGTGAGATGGAGGTGTTTTGTTTTATACATACCATTGGAGACTCTCCATCTGTAGAGTAGTACAGCTGTAATCAGCAAAGAACTAAATCATCTAGTACAATGGTGTTTGAGAAGTTGTCAGATCTTGTGTCACAATAGAACTGTATATGGACCCTGTCATTTCCATTTTGACACATGAAGGAGTCATCTACATTTGTGCAGATCTTGGGTGTTCTCGAGTCGCTACGTTGTGTTAATCACGGCAGTTCTTCTATTGGTTTTTCAGCTCGTCTGCACAGTTAAGGGGCTCCTCTTTCATTGCATTCAGTCACGTAGCAAATTTCAGTCAATTTAAGAAACGTTATCTTAACCCATCTTCTCCGTTCACTCTGCTTTGAGGGAGTAGCTGCACGCAGTCAGTGAAACAGAAAACAAAGAAAAAGAGAATCTAGAACCTTGAGTGAAAACGGTTGTCGGCACAAAGACTTGCACTGACTGGAAATTGAAGCAAATACACATAAATGAGGTAAACGGGGTCCTGTTGGAAACTTAATAATTTTATCCTGATGGATAATTGTATACCGTTATTTCCAGTATATTTTTTAAACATGTCTTGTTGATGTATTTATCTCTCACTGTTATTGATTCACATTGTGTTTTATGTAACACACAGAAAGCCTGTAAAGAGAATTTCTCTGAAAATTTGCTCCCAGGAGAGCCTGCCCTCAGACCCTCCTAGCTGTAGCAGCATTTTACTCTGTCCACGCGATGCTGTCACCTTTCGCTGTTTGCATCCCCATAGAACAGTTCAGGCACTCTGTCATACTTTGTTATGTCAGTTAACCTTGTTTTTCTATACAACAGCCTGCAGTTCTAGCTTTGGATTTATACTGTTGTTAATGGACTTTAAAATCCCTGTTGGGTCACTGAGCGAGTCTGTGTGTGTTTATCTGTGCATGTTTGCCCTGGGGTCTTTCTCTTCCCGGTAGTTTTAAACGGTTCTGCGAAACAATCATCCTTATTCAAACGCTGAAAGAGCTGTTCATCCTTAGAACTTCACAACACACCCAACTGTATTTATAACCTAGAATATTTGTGGTATGCATTAAGTTTTTCCTGAGTATGTAGTGTTCTTTTGACATTGAGTTTTCCAATTAGAGAGAGACACGCTCTCTGTTGAGGACAAAGGGCCAGCTGGGTTACATCATTGGAATGCTGCTGGTGTGAGTTTCTCTACGTGTATGAGTGTGTGTGTGTGTGTGCGCGCATGAGTGTGTGTGTGTGGCTGGGGTTAGGGCTGTGCCACACTTACGTAAGCCCTTCAGAGAAAGACGGGAGCACAGGAATCAGCCCAGAATCTTTCCCTCACTGGCTTAATTACAGAGAAAATTATTTGTGTATTTTCCTCTTTTTTTTTCCCACACAGCATACAAATACCATTAGTCTAATTTCTAACAGTGAGTTCTTCTATTTGTCGCTTTATTGCTCTAAATTCTATTTGAGGTCAAAGATGTAGCGTCATAATTGCTACAGCAAATAATGCTGATAAATAAAATATGTCATTTTTGTTGAATGGATGTAGATACTGCATATATCCTAACAATGGGGTAAAATCAGGGGTAAAACAATAGATGGGACATTTTGTACTTTCATTACAGTAACTTTAAAACGTGTGTCAGACTTCACTGATGGACACACATGTAAACAAATCTTCATGGATGTTGTGGTTGTGAGACATGAAGATTCTCTTCACAACCAGTGTAGGATAACCTTTGCCCATCAATGCAACTGCAGAAATGCTCTTGGGTGTATTTATAACAAGATTGGCAGCTGTATTTATATTTCCTGGCTACAGACTTAAAATATGTAATGGGATGGATAAATCAAAAGAAGGCTCCTTCAGTAACAAAGATCTAAGTTGTCACAGAGAAGACAATGGCCTGCATGTGTTGGCTGAGTAACCCTCTGGCCTTAAAAGGATGACTGTCCAGATGAGATATAACCAAAACAGAATAGATACAATTATAGTAAGTTAGTCATCACATAATAATGTGTTTTGAGGGAGTGTTTTTCTGGCTTGTGTGTGCGCGTGCAATTATTGCCCTGATTTTTATTGTCCAGCTCGAAGATGTTCGCAAGCAAACTGCTCTTGCCGTTCACTTGACCAAATTGGTTCAGTATGATGAGTCTTGTTTGCCTCGGGGCTCTGCAGTTTATACCAGTGCCCAGAGAGAATTTCAGTCACCTTTTTAAGTCGGCCATCTCACACACTAATAGACGCACTCACTCCCACTGAAATCAGTACAAATGTGTGTATGGCATATTTTGTCACACTACATGGATGTTTATATATAACCTGAAGCATGTGTTGACCCACACTCATTGTTGAACCTGAATGTGTCCTGTGTAAGCACAGGGCCACACTCTGATCCCAGCACAGCTGCTCTGTCTGTTAAAGAGTTGTAAAACAAGCAGCATGTTAGCAAAATGTTGAGGCCATTACACACCTCACATGTGTGTTTTTGCAGAAAACTTGTCCTCCAGAAATGCGCTGTGGACCAAAATTAAGTTGACATCAAGCAGTGATGAGCTGGTCCTGATGTTTCTAAACAGGAAATGGAAGAAACTGAGATTCTGGGTTCAGAGAGAGGCAGCAGACAGAATGTCATGCTTTGCTCCAAGAGTTTTTTCGAGCTTCGTTTGAAAAAATTAATGCTGCAAACTGTAAACTGCTGCATTAAGAATAGATGACTCAGAAAAGTGTTTTTTAAAGCATGGATTTTATATATCTGCTGTGTAAAGGCCTTTAGACACTTGTTTGTAATAAAAAAAACAAAACAAAACAAAAACAACAACAACAAACCAAAATCTTAGCATGGAGGATAAGAGTTTGTCTTATTTCAGGACACGCAAACGAAATAGATATGAGGAGCAAAATTACTATAACGACAAGCAAGATTTTAAAATTGTGGATTGCAAACACCAAGCAAAATGAAGAGTGTAATCTTGGAGGATTTTAGCAAGCAAAGCAGATTTGGAAAGAGCTACCCATCAAGCTCATTCACAGAGACCTGGAAAGGGAGACATGGCACACACAGACCTTTCACACAGAATGCTGTTGTGTGTTTTTCCTAGTGTATGCCATCCGTGAGGCAGCGACCTGTAACCTAATGAAGCTTGTGGAGAAGTTTGGAGCAGAGTGGGCCCAGAACACCATCGTGCCCAAAGTGCTGGGTATGGCCAACGATCCCAATTACCTCCACAGGATGACCACTCTGTTCTGCATCAATGTGAGTCGACAGAACTTTATTCTATATGCTTGAATGCACATGACGGCCTTTGGAGTTTGCTTGAAGGGCTTATTTTCTGTACTGATCCATCTAAAATGACTCTAGTCTCTCTAATAAAAAGCAGAGATTAGTTGTTTTTCTTATACTACCAGCTGTCGCCAAGTGCTTTCTCGTAGTGGATCGTTAGACCGTGAGGTTTCTGTTTTGTTGTGGCAGCTTTGCCTTCTGTTACAAAGCGGCTCAAAATAACTTGTTTTTCTTTGGCACTCTTTGAGTACCTGTTATGCCTTAAAGGTTTCAGACTCGCAGTATTGAAGCTAGATTCAATAATCCAGATCCACTTTATTGCACTGCACATGGGAAAAGCCCAGTTTAGGAATTAAGGGTTTGTTTTATTAGTATAAATGCAGTAACTTTAACAGGGCAAGCTAAGCTCTGTACTAAAATATGACCCAAGTATACTTATCTGGATCACCTACCTTCTTCACTTAAGGTAAACGAAGGCAGCAGTCACTATTAGGAAAGAAGTGTATGAGCGTCTTAAAAAAATAAATCACTTACATGTAGATTTTGTCATCTTGGTAACTCCTGCATTCTTTGTCTCAGGCTTTGTCAAAGGCATGTGGCCAGGAGATCACCACTAAGCAGATGCTACCCGTGGTCCTCAAGATGTCCAATGACCAAGTGGCCAACGTCCGCTTCAATGTGGCAAAATCCCTTCAGAAGATTGGCCCTATCCTCGACAGCAAGTATGTTGTCTGGAATTTGAGCACTCAGTGCTTTCTCTGCACAGTAGAGGGGGAAAATTGACTAAAGTCTGAAATCCAGAACGAGCTTTGAGTCTAATAAATGTCGTCCTCACTTTGTCCCTTCCAGTGCCCTTCAAACAGAAGTGAAGCCAGTGCTGGAGAAGCTGGCTTCGGACACAGACATGGATGTTAAATACTTTGCCCAGGAGGCCATTAGTGGTAAGCTTTCCTGTCATTTCCTATCACTGGGTATTAAAACCATTTAACAGATTGAGTGATATTTGAAATATATTTAAAAATGACTAAAATTGCAATTCTTATCTTCTCTTTCGTACACAGTTCTGGCGCTAGCATAACGGGCCAGCCCGACATGGGTTAACCAGATACCCACCTGAGTCAAGGCAACACTTTTACAAGATATTTATTGATGTTCAGGATCAACTGGTTAATGTATAGAGAAAGCTGTCAACAGTTTTATTTTTTGTTTCTTTTTCCCTATGTTTATTCCTTTTTCATCTTTCTTTTTTTTTTTTTTTACTGTTCAATGGGTGTCCATGTGCAGGCATAGCACATAGGCTTATTTGTTAACCTTTCGCTTTGCTGTAAATGGGTGCTTCTACAAAGGCAAAGTGTTGATGAAACTGAAATAAGTGGTGCATGCATGTGCTACTGTACTCGCTAGTCATTGCTAACCAGTACCCCCCTCACATTCCTCCCTTTTTACGCCCTTGGCCGCTGTTGTACTTGAGCCGCAGTCATCACACCGTACCACGTCTCTGTTAGCTACCTAGGACTGTGCTAACTCGTTGTGCTGCAGCACTTTTTCTCCCAGTGTTAGATGAAAACTTTTAGCAGCAGATGGTGCAACAAGCTGTTAATTTTTTTTCCTGAGCTTCGTCTTGAAACAGCCCCCTTTTCCCAGAGATGCAGCTCTACAGAGAAGTAGAAATTGAAAGGTCTTTCAAGGTGTTATGGAATATTTCTTTTGTTTTTTTGTCACCAAATCAAACCCCTCTCCTCTGAAATCCTTCACAGAATTAGAATCTACAAGGTTTTAAAGAAATGATGTCCTGTGTAATTCCTCATCCACTAGACTGCTGTGCTCTGAGTTGGTCAGTAATGGAGAGGGGCCAGATCAGTTGTAAATTGTTGCTCATAACTGTCCCACATCCAAATTAGTAATTTTTGGTACGTGTGGAAGAATGGGAAGTAATGTTCTGTAGTATATTGTCGGCATTGCTCTTAATCTTTGTGCCAATGACTTTAGAAAGCAGCTGTGTTTTCTTTTAATATGTCAGTAAACCGGTTTCGCCTGCCATGTTGTGTAAAAAGACAGCATTGTTTTCTGGAAGCGACACTATTAGTCTTGACGGTAATGGGATCATACAACTTAATTGACTACAGCTATCGGGGCTAGTGCACAACCACAGCAGTCAATGCGCTCTAGAGCCGATCAATTTTTTCCTTAAATCCATGCTTGGGTGCCCCCTCCCCTCCCCACTGAACAGGAGGTTTAAAAGCCTTTCAATAAACGTTAAGGGCCATCACTTTTAATCGTTGCTTAAAAACCTCTACACAATGGAGAACAAGTGCATGCTTTGAAAGAAAGTGGGAAGGGGAGCAGGGAGCATGTGTACGTAAGGCTGCATAATGTTTTATTACGGGGTGGGAGCTGGGGTGGTTATGGGCGGATTGAATAAATGTATCATCTGTGCTGATAAAAGGAACTTTTGTCTTTCCCTGAACTCCTTATGCCATTCCCTTCTCCTCTCTTCTCCCCTCCCTCCTTCCTCATTTTGTTCTTGAATAAACCTTGATTGTTGATTGTCCTGTATCACGAAGACTGCGCTTTTATTTTTGTTTTGAATTCTCTTCTAAATTGGGATGCTGTACTACTGTATCTTGATCTGAATAAAGTAACACAGAGGAGCCAGTGTACCCTTCTTTTGTAACTTCGCAGTTAGGACATTAAGTCCTTTTTGTCAGTATAATTGGCCGCTTCAGGGTGAAGACAGGAATCATCCAATTAAACCAATTTGGAGAATAACAGACGAACCACTTTTAAATATTCTTGAAAAATAAATTGTATTGACAACAAATCACAGGCCTGCTGTGGATGTTTAGCTTCTTATATACAAATTACTATTAAAAATGGTGACAAATTAAAGGGGAAAAACCAGTAAAAGCTGTCTTTTGGGGGGTCTCTTTGTATTTAAAAACCCCTGCTGGATGGATGGAACCATTCTTCCTAGAGATATTCCTCATCTGATGTTTTGATGATGGGAAAGAAGAGAGATGTCTACCACTTTGTTCTACAGTGTACTCCACTGGATGGAGGACCTGTGACTGAAGTCATAGCCATTGATCCCTTGTGCCATCTGCATAGGGGGCTGTGGCTGGTTTCTCCCAAGAGGCAGTTTCCATCTGGATAGAAAGTATGGGGTGTGTATTGATACATAATATTGCAATATTATCCCATTACAGGGACACCAAATACAAATATTAAATAAATTAAGATAAGACAGATATGTCATACCACATATCTGTCTTATAAGACAGATGTTTGATTTTTGATGATTTCTAGTGGTTAATTGCTGTTTTATCAGAAACAGATTGCAAGCAGTTGCCAACATGACATTTTCACTACAGACTAATCGACTGTTATGGCAGTTTTTAGGGTTTCTATGCTTGACAATCTGATTATGCAGCAAACTGAAGATAAGTAACTTACTAGATAGAGCTGATATTAAGTTTAACTTTGAGAGCATAATTTGCTATTTTAAAAAAAAAGGTAAATTGCTATATATAGGGTTAGGGGAGCATACGTATATGTGTGTATATACGCACACACATAGATATATATATGTATAGTCAAAGTAGACTTTGGTACTTCAGCATTGGTTTAAAGGCTATGACTATGCCCATGGAAAGATTTCATAGAAAACAGCTGTTCCACCCCCTTTAAAAACAAAAGGCAACATAATGGTGGCCTGCTTTGACAATTGGCGGGTCACTCATTATGATTTTGGCCGTATGAGAAGGGCATCAAAGTGCTACCATAATAATCAAGAATGACTTTCAGCTTTTCTGCTTGAAATTTCCCGATATAGTACTTGAAATGATTTCACCACTGAAAGAAGTCAGTGAGTCAGAATGCAATCAGTGAGAGAAAACAGCTGAAGTTTCTGGCGATGTGCACTGGATGAATTTGGAGGGTTTCTGGTCTTAAGTTCTGAGTCGAGTTGACGTATCGGTTAAGTGTGCCTGAAGGAGTTGAAGTAATTGAAAGCAAGTGAAGCATCAAAGGAAAAGAAAGAAAAAGCAGTGGCTCAAGGCTGGGACTTGCCCATTCTGATTTAACATGGTGTTAAAATCACTTGTGTCACTTTGGCTTAATGATTGAACCTGTTTTCTTGCAGTGAAGTTGAGTCT